TCACTTGTTTACTGTGATCTTATTGCATATATATATATATATATATATTATATAATATATATATATATATATATATATATATATATATATATATATATATATATTATATATATATATATATATATATATATATATATAATATATATTATATATATATATATATATATATATATATAATATATATATATATATATTCAATGTAGTGTTCCTGCTCGTCAATTTAACAGACTGCAACTGTACGTCACGACACAGATTTTGGTATTCTTTCTGAGATTTCATCTGTTTGGTTGAAAAATTCTCAGAGTCCCTCACATCTAGACAGAAGAACAACTTACCAATTTCTCGGGTTATAACAGTGGAATTTATAATTGGTGGCACACACTAGCTGGAGTCAGACCTGAAGACTGTAAAGCCAGCATTCTCTTGTCTCGTCCGTAAGACAGTATTTTCCAACAATTCTGATTATTCAAGAAATAGTGAATCAAACATTTTGTTTTTAAATGATAATGAAGCTTAAATCCCCCGTCGACTACACTAGATTCATTAAGGTCAAACGTAACATTTCTCACCACCAGAACAACAGTAATTCCCACATTAGGGAGTAAAATACGCTGAACACGTGTCTTGAATCTGAAGTGTTGACATAACAAGTTGAACTTCCACCCCTGTAATCGAGTTCAGTTTTTGTATTCAAGATAGTGCAATTATTTAATAAATATTTGATACTAGAGGGGCAAGACTTGAACTCATGCAGATATAGCTTCCACAGCTCGATGGAAAAACACTTGCTAACACCCAAACATGTCACACACACACACACACACGAGGGGCCAGGAGCTATGAATCGACACCTGCAACCACAAATAGATGAATACACACACACACACACACGCACGCACACACACACACACACACACACACACACACACACACACATACACACACACACACACAACACACACACACACACACACACACACACACACACACACGCACACACACACACACACGCACGCACACACACACACACATACACAGTGCCCATCGATAAACACCTGATCAAACCGAACAAATATGAAACTGAGGCACAGCATATCCAGAACTCCTAATCATTCCAAACACTTGTAGGTGGCAACACATGAGTCAGGTGTATCAGTCCCGTCAAGGTTAAATTAAATGATAAGATTAACACAGTAGCTCCTCCCTTCCTAAACCCGTCGTCACCCCAGAAGGGAGAGTAATACCAGAGAGAGTAACACCAGGAAGAGTAATACCAGGGAGAGTAATACCAGGGAGAGTAACAGCAGGGAGAGTAATACCAGGGAGAGTAACACCAGGGAGAGTAATACCAGAGAGAGTAACACCAGGGAGAATAACACAAGGGAGAGTAACACCAGGGAGAGTAACACCAGGGAGAGTAACACCAGGCAGAGTAACGCCAAGGAGAGTAACACCAGGGAGAGTAGCACCAGGGAGAGTAACACAAAGGAGAGTAACACCAGCTAGAGTAACACCAGGGAGAGTAACACCAGGGAGAGTAACGCCAGGGAGAGTAACACCAGGGAAAGTAACACCAGGGAGAGTAACACAAGGGAGAGTAACACCAGGGAGAGTAAAACCAGGGAGAGTAACACCAGGTAGAATAACATCAGGGAGAGTAACACCAGGGAGAGTAACACCAGGGAGAGTAACACCAGGGAGCGCTTGAGGGTGCTAAACCTGTATTCCCTGGAACGCGGGCGGGAGAGATACATGATTATATACACCTGGAAAATCCTAGAGGGACTAGTACCGAACTTGCACACGAAAATCACTCACTACGAAAGCAAAAGACTTGGCAGACGATGCACCATCCCCCCAATGAAAAGCAGGGGTGTCACTAGCACGTTAAGAGACCATACAATAAGTGTCAGGGGCCCGAGACTGTTCAACTGCCTCCCGGCATACATAAGGGGGATTACCAACAGACCCCTGGCAGTCTTCAAGCTGGCACTGGACAAGCACCTAAAGTCGGTTCCTGACCAGCCGGGCTATGGCTCGTACGTTGGTTTGCGTGCAGCCAGCAGCAACAGCCTGGTTGATCAGGCTCTGATCCACCAGGAGGCCTGGTCACAGACCGGGCCGCGGGGGCGTTGACCCCCGGAACTCTCTCCAGGTAAAACTCCAGGTAAACCAGGGAGAGTAACACAAGGGAGAGTAACACCAGGGAGAGTAACACCAGGGAGAGTAACACCAGGGAGAGTAATACCAGGGAGAGTAACACCAGGGAGAGTAACACCAGGGAGAGTAACAACAGGGAGAGTAACACCAGGGAGAGTAACACCAGGGAGAGTAACAGCGGGGAGAATAATACCAGGGAGAGTGACACCAGGGAGAGTAATACCAGGGAGAGTAACACCAAGGAGAGTATCACCAGGGAGAGTAATACCAGAGAGTAATACCAGGGAGAGCAACACCAGGGAGAGTAACACCAGGGAGAGTAACACCAGGGAGAGTAGCACCAGGGAGAGTAGCACCAGGGAGAGTAACACCAGGGAGAGTAACACCAGGGAGAGTAACACCAGGGAGAGTAACACCAGGGAGAGTAACACCAGGGAGAGTAACACCAGGGAGAGTAACACCAGGGAGAGTAACACCAGGGAGAGTAACACCAGGGAGAATAATACCAGGGAGAGTAACACCAGGGAGAGTAATACCAGGGAGAGTAACACCAAGGAGAGTAACACCAGGGAGAGTAATACCAGAGAGAGTAATACCAGGGAGAGCAACACCAGGGAGAGTAACACCAGGGAGAGTAACACCAAGGAGAGTAACACCAGGGAGAGTAATACCAGGGAGAGTAACACCAAGGAGAGTAACACCAGGGAGAGTAATACCAGGGAGAGTAACAGGACGAAGAGTAACACCAGGGAGAGTAACACCAGGGAGAGCAATACCAGGGAGAGTAACACCAGGGAGAGTAACACCAGGGAGAGTAATACCAGGGAGAGTAACAGGAAGAAGAGTAGCGCCAGGGAGAGTAACACCAGGGATAGTAACAGCAGGGAGAGTAATACCTGGGAGAGTAGCACCAGGGAGACTAACAGCAGGGAGAGTAATATCAGGGAGAGTAACACCAGGGAGAGTAGCACCAGGGAGAGTAATACCAGGGAGAGTAACACCAGGGAGAGTAACACCAGGGAGAGTAACACCATTGAGAGTAACACCAGGGAGAGTAACACCAGGGAGAGTAATACCAGGGAGAGTAACACCAGGGAGAGTAACACCAGTGAGAGTAATACCAGGGAGAGTAACAGAAGAAAGAGTAACACCAGGGAGAGTAACACCAGGGAGAGTAACACCAGGGAGAGTAATACCAGGGAGAGTACCAGGAGGATGAGTAACACCAGAAAGAGTAACACCAGGGAGAGCAACACCAGGGAGAGTAATGCCAGGGAGAGCAACACCAGGGAGAGTAATGCCAGGGAGAGTAACACCAGGGACAGTAACACCAGGGAGAGTAATACCAGGGAGAGTAACAGGAGGAAGAGTAACACCAGGGAGAGTAATACCAGGGAGAGTAACACCAGGGAGAGTAACACCAGGGAGAGTAATACCAGGGAGAGTGACACCAGGGAGAGTAATACCAGGGAGAGTAATACCAGGGAGGGTAGCACCAGGGAGAGTAATACCAGGGAGAGTAATACCAGGGAGAGTAACATCAGGGAGAGTAACACCAAGGAGAGTAATACCAGGGAGAGTAACAGCAATGAGAGCAGCAGGAGGGAGAGTAACAGGAGGGAGAGTAATACCAGGGAGAGTAACAGCAGGGAGAGTAACAGCAGGGAGAGTAACACCAGGGAGAGTAACACCAGGGAGAGTAACACCAGAGAGAGTAACACCAGGGAGAGTAATACCAGGGAGAGTAATACCAGCTAGAGTAACACCAGGGAGAGTAACACCAGGGAGAGTAACGGCAGGGAGAGCAATACCAGAGAGAGTAACAGCAGGAAGAATAATACCAGGGAGAGTAATACCAGGGAGAGTAATACCAGGGAGAGTAACACCAGGGAGAGTAACGCCAGAGAGAGTAACGCCAGGGAGAGTAACACCAGGGAGAGTAATACTAGGGAGAGTAACACCAAGGAGAGTAACAGGAGGAGAAGTAACAGGAGGAAGAGTAACACCAGGGAGAGTAACACCAGGGAGAGTAATACCAGGGAGAGTAATACCAGGGAGAGTAATACCAGGGAGAATAACACCAGGGAGAATAATACCAGGGAGAGTAATACCAGGGAGAGTAATACCAGGGAGAGTAACTCCAGGGAGAGTAATACCAGCGAGAGTAATACCAGCGAGAGTAATACCAGGGAAAGTAATACCAGGGAGAGTAACTCCAGGGAGAGTAATACCAGCGAGAGTAATACCAGCGAGAGTAATACAAGGGAGAGTAACACCAGGGAGAGTAACAGGAGGAAGAGTAACAGGAGGAAGAGTAACAGCAGGAAGAGTAACAGGAGTAACAGGAGGGAGAATAACAACAGAGTGAGACGACCCATAGTAATATTCCATGTTTTGTTGTGTATACCTAACACCTGCAAAACAACAGTTATCCACTGGTTTAGAGGTCAGACAGATATTATGGACACATATAATGTACACTATGCAGACTAAGCTAGTATGATGAATTGGATTTATTTCCGTTAGGAAGGGCAATCCATAACCCACACAGCCACACACACACGTCATAAGCGTGTAGATGTGAACGTTTTCTAGCGCTGCTCGGCTACCGCGTTGCCAGACGTATTGCGGCTGCCATTTTTTTTTTTTTTCCTATTTGTGTTTAAATGTACATTCTAATTGGTTTACGTAACCTAACTCTGATCTAACTTGAATTCAGGCTCTTCTTAATATTTATGAATGACCAGGACAGTCTGAGTGATCACTGTGCGGAGGGTCGACCCTCTGTCACTCACTCATCTGGATGACCCACACGTGTATTAATCTTGTATTTTTTGCAGACTTTCATGAGCGGATGCCTGTGTTTCGGTGGCGGTGTGTTGATGGCCACGGTGTTCCTGCACCTGCTGCCTGAGACCAGGTACTACCTACAGGTAGCTGTCTCCTCTGGCTTCTTCCCTGAGTTACCTTACCCGCTCCCCGAGCTTATCGTCTGTTGCGGGTTCTTCCTGATGTACGTCACGGAGATAGTAATGCACTCTTGTCTCCACCGAGGCCACAACCACCACTCTCATCTACCTGTAGCGAAGGACACCGAGATGAACGTCCACACAGAGACGTCCGATAAACAGAAGAATTATTCCACAGATGATGCCGATGCGGAAAATGGGTGTCTCAGGAAACTGACGGACGAGAAGGATTCTGTCAATAACACACTGGAGTCTGCAGACACGGGAGAGTCTGTGGATGATAACTTGTCTCTGATGCGGGCTATCGTGGTAGTAGTGGCACTCTCCGTCCATAGCATCATGGAGGGCCTGGCACTGGGCCTCGTCTTCAAGCCATCTGACGTTTGGTTGCTCTTCGCTGCTCTCTCCTCCCACAAACTAATCATTGGCTTCTGCATGGGAATGGAAATGCTGGAAGCCAGAGCGTCCTACATGTCGTTCTTCCTATCAATGATTATTTTCTCCTTAGCATCACCGCTTGGTGGTCTCGTAGGGACACTGGTAGTCTCCATGACAACGAACACGACAGCCGCTGGTATCCTGGTCCCTACCGTCCTGCAAGGGCTCTCAGCGGGTACCATCCTCTACGTGACCTTCTGCGAGGTGCTAGAGAGGGAGCGAGCCAAGCCACAAGATCCCTTTCTTAAGATGTGGACTCTGGTAGCGGGATTCCTATTCATGGCGGCTTTACAGGTGCTGGATAAGTTTGCACCTGAAGACAGTATAGCAGAAGTAGCGGAAACACCTCATAATCTTCTCTTCACCTCGCCTCTCCCACTCTTGCTAACCAAACCCGTGTGAGTCATAGATCACAAGGTTTGCCAGAGCATCGAGCAACGAGATTGTTTTTTTAGATGAGAATTCATGATTTTATTTTAACTGTTGTTATTTGTTTTAGTGCAGTGTGTGATCACAATGAGGTAAATTGGACACCAAGTTATTAAAAACTGGGTGTGTCCAAAGCTGACTGGATTTGAAATTTTCATATATGTCTATCGATGTATGTAAACACACGTGGATTTGTGATTGAACACACACACACACACACACACACACACACACACACACACACACACACACACACACACACACACACACACACACACACACACACACACACACACACACACACACACAAACAAACACACACAATTGGAAGTTGAAGACTCAGATGAATCAAAGGGATGTTAGGAAGTATTTCTTCAGTCATAGAGTAGTCAGGCCATGGAATAGCCTAGAAAGTGATGTGGTGGAGGCAGGAACCATACATAGTTTTAAGGCGAGGTATGATAGAGCTCATGGAGCAGGGAGAGAGAGGACCTAGTAGCAATCAGCGAAGAGGCGGGGCCAGGAGCTGTGACTCGACCCCTGCAACCACAAATAGGTGAGTACAAATAGGTGAGTACACACACACACACACACACACACAAGGTGACAGAAGTAAGACAAGAGAGACAGGGGTGGATCGACTGCATTTTTTTGGACTGCAAGAAGGCCTTCGACACAGTTCCTCACAAGAGGTTACTGCAAAAGCTAGAGGATCAGGCACACATAACAGGAAAGGCACTTCAATGGATCAGAGAATACCTGACAGGGAGGCAACAACGAGTCATGGTACGTGACGAGGTGTCAGAGTGGGCGCCTGTGACAAGCAGGGTTCCACAGGGGTCAGTCCTAGGACCTGTGCTGTTCTTGGTATATGTGAACGACATAACGGAAGGGATAGACTCAGAAGTGTCCTTGTTTTCAGATGATGTGAAGTTAATGAGAAGAATCAAAGCGGATGAGGATCAGGCAGGACTACAAAGAGACCTGGACAGGCTACAAGCCTGGTCCAGCAACTGGCTCCTTGAGTTTAACCCTGCCAAATGCAAATGAAGATTGGGGAGGGGCAAAGAAGACCGCAGACACAATATAGTTTAGATGACCAAAGTCTGCAAACCTCACTCAAGGAAAAAGATCTGGGGGTGAGTATAACACCGAGCATATCTCCTGAGGCGCACATCAATCAGATAACTGCTGCAGCATACGGGCGCCTGGCAAACCTACGGATAGCGTTCCGATACCTCAGTAAGGATTCGTTCAAGACTCTGTATACCATTTACGTCAGGCCCATACTGGAGTATGCAGCACCAGTTTGGAATCCACACCTAGTCAAGCACGTCAAGAAATTAGAGAAAGTGCAAAGGTTTGCAACAAGACTAGTCCCAGAGCTACGGGGATTGTCCTACGAAGAAAGGTTGAGGGAAATCGGCCTGACGACACTGGAGGACAGGAGGGTCAGGGGAGACATGATAACGACATATAAAATACTGCGCGGAATAGACAAGGTGGACAAAGACGGGATGTTCTAGAGAAGGGACACCGACACAAGAGGTCATAATTGGAAGTTGAAGACTCAGATGAATCAAAGGGATGTTAGGAAGTATTTGTTCAGTCATAGAGTAGTCAGGCCGTGGAATAGCCTAGAAAGTGACGTAGTGGAGGCGGGAACCATACATAGTTTTAAGGCGAGGTATGATAGAGCTCATGGGGCAGGGAGAGAGAGGACCTAGTAGCAATCAGCGAAGAGGCGGGGGCCAGGAGCTGTGAATCGACCCCTGCAACCACAAATAGGTGAGTACAAATAGGTGAGTACACACACACACACATACAAAAAAAATAGTGGAAAAATGGCAGTAGGTATTCCCGGGCATCTGAAGTGTTGCTAGTAGGTAGGCAGGTTCTGTGTCACAATATAAGGAAAGAAGTGCAAACACCCAGCCAGGAAAGTGAAAACATAGAGGGATGTGTGGTATATATTTATATATACGTGTGGTGTAACAGTGAGTGATTAAATAACAGACTAAGATTTTACGGAGCTCAGTTCAGTACGATATCTTCCCAGCGAGGAAGAGGAGCCGAGACGTTCATACTTTGCCAGACGTATGCGGTAATCACCCATGTTGGGTAGCAACGTCAGGTAATTAGCACCAGGCTTTCTGCTCCACTGGAAGTTAGGGTCCACTCACCCCTCGAGAGCTGATTGTCGGATATAGAGTATATAGGATTTATTAAGGAGGTTAAAGGAAGAGGTTTTAGTAAGGGCAGGGTAGCTGGGACAGGCGCATGTGTGGGAACTGTGTGTAGGTACACTACACCCATACTTACATGTACACACCCACAACTGTTAACCAGATTATCTAAAATAACACTGGTACCCTTGCTCCCTCCTGCAACACACACACACACACACGACCAGTGAAGAGGCAGGGCCAGGAGCTATGAATCGGCCCCTGTAACCACAAATAGGTGAGTATAAATAGGTGAGTACACACACACACACACACACACACACACACACACACACACACACACACACACAGGGATTTTAGGAAGTATTTCTTCAGTCACAGAGTAGTCAAGAAGTGGAATAGTTTGGGAAGCGATGTAGTGGAGGCAGGATCCATACATAGCTTTAAGCAGAGGTACGATAAAGCTCATGGTTCAGGGAGAGTGACCTAGTAGCGACCAGTGAAGAGGCGGGGCCAGGAGCTTGGACTCGACCCCTGCAACCTCAACTAGGTGATTACAACTAGGTGAGTACACTACACACGGCAGGATGAAGAAACAAGAGTACCGGGGATGACTGGGCTGAACAAGAAGCATTGGCAGAAAGAATCAAGAGCACAGTGAAACGGGAGTCGGAAAAAAATCTAAGCTAGTTTTGCAACACAATGGTCGAGAGGATATTTACAGATAACAAGAAGAGGAAGGCACAAGCTCTTGCTGCTGAGACAAGGATGCAGAGACTATCAGAGGAACTGGAAGTACGTGTATTAAAGCGTAATATTGAGATGAGGACTGATAGCAAGAAGCTGGATGATGGAACAACAGCGGAAAGCGAGAGGATTGAAAGAGGGGAGAGAGCAAATATGCTCCTTGAGGAAATGATACCAGGCCACCAGGATGTCTGGGAGATAAGGAAGACAACCAAGGATATACTTAAATCAGACCCAGAGATATGGAAGGAAACAAAATGAGATGAAAGGGAAAGATACATTATTCATGGGCTTCATGAAGCAGAAGGGAAGACCTTAGAAAACAGGGGGAGATAAGAAATTGAAAGCATCATCGCAGTAACAAAACGACATGAAACAACTAATAAGTTTTCAGAGATCTGGGCAGTACTCAAGGGAAAAGAACCGTCCAATCAAATTAACATTCAAATCAGAAATGATATAACAAAATCCTACAGCGGAAACAATGGTTAAAGGAAACGACCAGGAAGTATATGAAGAGCTCAGCTCGCGATACAGGGAGATATTCACAGTGGAGACAGCAAATCGAGGTGGTAGGGTGCACCAGCTAGTGCTGGGTCCACACTGCACACAACCGAGGAGGTGAAGAAACTGCTAGAAGTACTAAATACCTCGAAGGCGGTGCGCTCAGATGATATATCTCCTGGGGTCCTGAGAGAGGGAGCAGATGCACTGTGTGCTACTAACAACAATCTTCAATAAATCTATCGAAACGGAATCTGCCTGAGGTGTGGAAGACAACAAATGTATTTCCATTTTTTAAGAAAGGTAACATACAGGCTGCACTAAATTACAGACCAGAATCGCTGACATGTATAATATGTAAAGTTGTGGAGAAGATTATCAGAAGAGTGGTGAAGCCCCTAGAGAGGAATGGAGTTATTCATGACAACAAGTACGGCTAACAGAAGTAAAACAGGAGAGAGAGGGATGGGTAGGCTGCATCTTTTTGGACAGCATGAAGGCTTTCGACACAGTACCACACAAGAGATTGGTTGAAAAGCTAGAGGAGCAGGCGGGAATAGCAGGGAA